TTGGTTATCATCTGTTTTCTTTTAGGGCCGAGTGGGCACGGCTGATGCCGGGTGACGTCGCGTGTTTGTGCGCGCTGCTCTCATCCATCATGCTGAACTCCCAAACCAGTCATGTGAATATACGGCACAGCATTTCACTTTCTCACCTTCTTACATTTTGGACGGGGCAGGGATAACAGAGATTAGCACAGTTTTACCAAATAAGGTCATATTTGCTAGCGGTGTGTCGAGCTTGCCTTCGTAGCATCCGCTAATACGGCCTTTATCAGCCTTAACACATTTCGATATGGATGTGCGTCACAATTTAACACGTTTGGGTGGAATAAAAGGCCCCAGACTTCTGTAACAGCCCGTGTGGGAGTCATTAAAAGATGTTTTTTCTTTATTAATATCGGCGCTACCAAGGCAACAGAACTAGTGAACAGCGTCACAACCAACAATGATATACCACGTAGAAACACTCAACCTATAAGCTAACCCTTTCAGTGAAAGAATAGGCTAATTATTACCTCTAGCACATGGCACACAGTTTTACAGGCTAGCAGCAAGGAATCAGTAACAATTAATCTCCAGCTACTCGAGTAAAGCTGCTAAGTGATCCGTCTGTTTTGTAATAGGCAGTTTCTGTGCACACCTGAGTGGAACTGTGAAAGACTGCAGCACGGAATTCAGTGAAAAGAAGAAACATTGTTCTCAGCAAATCTAAAATAAAAAGAACGTTCCTTTCCTTTTTCTCCACATCCATCAGTTACCAACCCACCAACCTAACTACACTGGCTACTCTGTAAAGGTGTTAAGGTGACCTCTTGTTCCATCTGTTCAATGGACGCGTGCAAAGGCTCAAACATGCACACAGACACACCAAGTGCAGCACTTCAGACGGACAGACAAAGGCAGGTCGCGCTACACTTTCCCACCTGGATATTCCTTGGTCTACGAGAGCCATCCAGATTTCTAAGGACATCAATCAAAGTGCAGCGGTTTAGAGAGCCACTGTGACTGCAAGTGGTCAGGTGACTGGGGAGAGCAGCGCACCTGCACCAGTCATCGCCGCCGCCGCCCCCAACCTAAGGAGCGGCCTTTTGACCTTCGACCCACACATCATCAAAATACACGGGGGGGGGGGTTTAAGCAGACAATTGGGATGCATGTATGCATGGAAGTGGGAGAGTGAGCGCGTGGTGTTCAGGAACAGAAGCTCTTTGGGAATAACCTGTCACTTTAATGAAAAACGCACACAGCGTACGTGATGTGTGGATGATATATTACGACCAAATGCAGATAAATCAGCAACTTATACAGTTACGGTTTTTGAAACGGCGACGTGCAGCATCAATTCAAATGGATCTTGGGAGGACAGCGTCGGTGCTATTCTTTCTGTCTCGGGTTCAATGAAATGATTTAATAACCCCTTTTTTGCTTATGTCATGTCTGGTGAAAAAGCAGCAAGGCGAGGGGGGGGGAGAGATAAAGCGCAGACAAAACAAAATCAAAAAGTAAAGTCGCCTGAGCGAACTTTGGAAGGATCCCATAATTGACGTTGATACGAACAGACGGGAAAGTGAAAGAGGGGCGGGGAAGAACACACGGTATCTGCTGGATGCAGTGGCTTGCAGTGGAATCCACATCTCACAGTCTATATGAGGCCCAATCAAAGGAGGCGAGCATCTAACAGCAGATTCCACTGGAGCATCTCAGCCGCAGGAAGTGAGAGTGACTGACACTCTGAGCTAGTTTTTCACTAAAGTCTCACATGTGCACACACAGAACACACAGGGATAGGAGTCAACACACTTCCTCTCCGGTTTTTAACTTTCATTTCAACCTCAAACTCACTCGTCTAATCGATTTCGTGCAGCACGGCTTCAGGAAAGAGATGGCGGATTGAGTCGCATTCAGCCCATCGGTCTTCCCCTACAACCATTGACACGTGTAAATACGCAAGCCATTTGAAGCCCACACTGAATAGCTGAGCGTGTGAACCAAAGACCCAACATTATACAGAAAATTGCATTCAGCAAAGAGCAGGTCAAGAAGTCCGCTTGGCAACCACGTAGCCACGTAACCATCTCCGACAACCGCCGGCTTCCCCTTATGGCCGAAGACCATAACGGGAAAGTAAGGAGACGTAACTCCGACTTCCACTTGGTAAACGGGTTCAGCGGCGTTGTGAAATGACCTTTATATCAATTTCAAGCTCCAGTTCAGAGCTTTATCACACATGATAATTGTTAGGTCGGGTTTCACCAAAGACATTCTGAAGTAATGGCTCCTAAAGACAAAGACATTTACTCCCACACAAAGCTCGTTGCTCTTCACACATAATGGATCATCAGTCCACGTGAAAGGCCTTCGAGCACGCACGCACACTCTAAATGGGGCTTGTGCTGCGTTGCAGTTTGAGGCGCTTGCTCTCCGTCAAACCAAACCATAAAATAAGTGCAGTTATGTGATTCCCCTCAACATGTGACGAGGGCTTGCATAGAAGACTGAAATGACCAGACGGCGCCTCGAGAGATGTTTCCAGAAGCGCACAGTTAAAAAAGCTACGGGTGCCTTATAGATTCAATTTGCAGATTCGAGTCTTTTACACCTGTGTGGCTAACCACCATCGATCCATCATTCTGTGGAGCGCAATCCAATTTAGAGTGTGGAGGAGCCCTGGAGCCCTGCAGCCTTATCCTCACCCAGGCCACAGCCACCGCAAAGCCTGCTTACCTCCATCCCCTGAAGTTTACGTGTGTGTGTGTGTGTGTGTGTCTCTCTCAGTGTGTGCTGAGGGAGGCTGCAGACCGAGCTAAACACCGTAGCTGCTGGCTCATGTTAAAGCGCGCTGAGCCAATTTAGAAGTGAGGGAGGAGAGGAGATGAGAGACAGAGGAGGTGGGGACAAATCCTGGGGACGCAGGCGAGGAACCTTTCTTTTATAATTTATTACTTACAGTAAACTGAAGAGTACAAGAGGAAGACAACAAGAAGGAAGCGCAAAAAGAGAGGGGACCATGGGCGCCGCAAACAGTGGAGTAGTGCCTGTAAATCTTCTTTGGGGTAATCACACTCTTCATAACTAGGAAGACCAACACTCGTAGTTTAACTTGTGATGGGGAGCACCATCTATGGGCCGTCAAATTTGTTTCCGCAGACAGCGAAAAGTGCACCACTGCAGAAAACCCCCCCTGGTGCACTTGAGTGTCCTTTGGTGTGGGAGCTTAACGACGGCGCGCATGTTTTGACCAACCATCTCAATCCCTCCCCTTTAAAATTACAGCATCTTGTGGCACGGATGTTTTTGGTTTTCAATTCTCTCCGCTGCTCCGCTGGAGTGTAGCAGAACCCTTGAGATCAATTATTAAAAGGGTATTTAAAACTGGGAAAAAGAGGTGGTTGGGTGGTGTGAAAGTGAAAGCAGCTGTTTAAGTGCTTCGTGCCAGCGACTAAACTTCATCACCTCCAAACTTGACGCGGAGCATCCAGTGGGTTTCACTCACTCCGGCGACTAAACCCAGGGCAATTAAGGGCCGGATCTCCGCAGGGGGAGAGGGAGCTGGGAGGGGAGGGGGTGCGGCAGGAGCAGCTGAGAGACTCCATACCCATAACAGGCAATTATGTTTGGGGAGGGCCATTGTCAGGCCGTGAGAGTATCGAGCAAGACAGCAGGGATATGGGATGGTAGGGAAATGAGGAGGAGTGTTATTTAGGAGGCAGATGGCAGAGAGGGGGAAATTAAGATGAATGGGCACTGAGAGGGCTGCGCTGGTGCCGGGCAGAGGAAAGTAATTAGCCACGTTTGCTCTGCGAGGCCGGCGATGAGCACGCACGCCGCCTGCAGTGACTGGCTCCGGGCCCCCGAGCGCCGTTGGCGCCGGCATTGGGGGCCGCCGGCCAGGCAGCCGTCCTGCACACCTGTACAGGACACCGGGATGTCTTTTTTTTCTTTTAACAATGATACGGCATTCCTTATACAAACAGGCTCTTTCTCCAACACACAGTCAAACAGGCCTCTCACCCCCCCCCCCACCTAACATTGTTCCTTAGTTTCACCCAAACCAATTGGCTCTTTCGTACCTCCGCACACCATTTCACTCCATTTCTTATGTTCCAGCCACCTCTATCTGTCTCTTTCCTCCCACCCTGTATACTTCCCTCCCCCTCGTCCCTTTCCAATCTCATTTCAGATAAGTCGAGGCAGAACAACAGAGCAGGGCCTTTTATCATTGCCATCAATTTTGTGGGTGGACTGAGCGTGAATAATGGTATTCATGTGGGCCCGTACACAGCCCACAGTGATTCCAATTACGGGTAATAAGTGGTAATTGGGTTACGGTGTAAATTTTGAAGTGCTTCAGTGATAATTGTAAAAGACCTTTGACAAGAGAAGAAAGCTGCAGTTTGTTTTTGCAACCGCCGAAGCACAATATTTAGTTTACAGCTACGAATGACACGGGGCAAGTATGATTTGGAATAATAAGTATCTGATTTTCACACCCTGGAATTCACACGGTTAGAGGCACATTTTGCCATTTTTATTTAGAATTCCAAACAGCGTTAAGTAACAAGTGGCTTGCATTTGTTGACGTGACATGATTTTGGTGCCAAGGCCTCAACGGCCTTTAAAAAAAAAAAAATTGACTGTATATTTGTCTCAGGCGAGAAACTAAACATGAAAGTGCTGCAGTTACTGACAAATTTAGGAACCTGATCAAACCGAGTACAGTCTACACACTGAATTCTCACAGGGCTTCTCTTACAGTGCGCCCAACACACTGCCTCAAACGGTTTCACCAAAGACCTTTCACACTTTCAGGCGGCACACAAGGTCACCAGGACAACTGAAACAGTCCCAGGACACACAAACACAAAAAAGCAGAACACATGAACTGTAGTGACGAAGTTGCAGAGCATGCAAGAGCTGTTTTCGGATGACCTTTTGAGAGCAGATAAAAGGCAGAGCTGAGCATGCTTGAAGCTTTAGCTTTGCGTTTTTTCAATGATTTGCTTTACCATAGTGAACAGGCCTGAGAACCTGGCGGAAGGAGCTGGGGCTGATGGTCTTCTGCTGGTTATCTGTGGAGGGCAGGGGACATTTAACGCCAACATATCTTACTGCGCTAAGAGGGATCAGAGAGATCACGCGGGGGCCTTCGAGAGCTGAAGAACGGCTGTGGAGGGAAGACCATTACCAGAAAATACAGTGTTGAAGGGCAACACTGTCGACTGCCCATAAAGTCTAATGGACCGTCTCCTCAAAACATGCACAGAACCCAACTTGGCTTCAAGAGCATTTTGGATTTAGGACTGCCAGAAAATAAATAACTGGCTGTTGATCTACTGAGATCTAAACCTCAGACAGTTGCAGTAATGTTGCCGGGTTGTTGTCTGGCAGTGTGCCTCTAGCAAACATGTGTTCAAACAACAAACTGGTGTATTTTGCAGGGGACTGAGAATGTGTGGAGCAGAGGCACAATGAAACAAGGATGCATCCAATTCACCCAGCATTTTAAAGCCATGACAAGAAAAGTATGCATCCAGTTGGCAGGTTTGGACTGGAAATTCTATCTGGAATCAGAATACTGCCCATAACGTACAATGCGAGTAGCGGGTGCTGCGTGTGCATCTGTCTTTGTGCAAAGGTGAAGGCAAAGGATATGAGACTCACCTCTGGGTCTTGGTGCTCTCTTCCTGCGGTCTCTGAATGCAGCTCCTGACTGCAGGGCTTCCAGCAAACTATCCATCACACCCGTCTCATCATTCTCTGAAAAACCCAAGAAGAAAAAGAGTGAGGGATTGTCGGAAGTCAGAGCAGCAATACGAATGAATAAGTAAACGCATTGAAGTATGGCCTCGCTGTTGCACGTTAGTCATGTTGCAGTTCACATTGATGTCGGCCCAAAAAGGCATCAACTCCCAATTTCATCCAGCAACCTTGACCTCAAAAATCTAATCAGTTAATACTTCACGTGGCCCAAAGTAATTGATGGACCGCCTGTCCATCAACCATGCATTTCAGCACCCGGGACAGCATGCTCTAAACGGGACTTCATCAGATAATAACAATAACACACAAAAAAAAGATGAATTTGAATGTTGATAACCATGGCAATAGTTGAAACTAGGATGCTTCCAGGGTTAACTGGCGCAGAGAAGAACTCACCAATACAAGGACGTACAGTGCACTGTCAAGCTGGAATGAAACACTCAACATTTTTCTTTTTAACTTTAATATTTAAAATATTTAACTTTATTCCCTTGTTCTATACTAACCCATAACCTTATTCTACTAACCCATTGCATTAGCATTTCATTTTACTTTATTTTATTACTTGTGCACTGCTGTCTTGTCTGTCTACTGTCGCGCACTAACCGCCAAGACAAATTCCTTGTATGTTTGGCATATTTTGGTAAATAAATGTTTCCAGATTCCTGATTCCTCAAACCTGTCATCATGCGATATTTACTTTGCAATACTCTCAACACAAGATCAGGTCCGTGTTCGGCGGGGGAACCAGCAAGATAGATTGTTGGAAGGAAAAAGGTTTGAAGAGAAGACATTTAAAATCATAACGATGGACCAGGCCAGTGAAAACAGCCTCCAGTGCAAGGGGAGGTATATGGGAATGCCGAGGGAGAACACACCCCGTCAATAATAAGTGATGCTCTGCTTGTCATGCAAATGGGAGAGGGTGTGCGCGTGGGGGCTTTCTTTTCAACACCGCTTTTGTGTTGACGATAATGTTTGAAGTATTTGTGGACCTCCAAGCACATGTGAGGGTCTGTTTGCCCCTAAGCTTCACATTTCCACCAATGACGCCCTCGTAGAATAGACTTTAAAGTATGCAGAGAACACTTTCAGCTTTGGGTCCGGAAAAGGACCTTCAGCAGAGCACGCATGGTTCAGCTTTAAAAAACAAGCAAATCAAATCCCAATCATTCTTCGTAGTACACCGGTGCTAACCCATCAAACTCAACTTATTTATTTCTATATGTAAAATGTTATTATTTTAGATGTCAACTTTTCTATCCATTAGCGCTCTTATGGCAAGTGTAGCCATTCCACACGCCTGAGGAAGCCTCATCTGTGGGACCACAGATCAGGGAGAAGACGTTCTTTATGGTTCTTTTTGATTGTCAAACACATTTAAATCACCCACTATATTTAGTTTTTTTTGGACTTAAATAAAAAAGGACGCCAGATGTTTTTCCTGATTGAAACAGTCAATAGACTCAACAACATGATAATAGTCTAATTAATTGTAATCATTGGTGCAGTTTGTGTTCGACATGCGTTAGATTTGATCATTTATCATTCTATGTTATTACCAGCCCCTTTATACAGACCTCTAATGAGTACATTTTATAAAAGTGTAGAAATAAATAGTTGCTGTGAAAAAAAAGAAATTTAAATTAAATCAGAATTCCCACATTTAAAAATATGTTATGTGATCTATGCTAATCAGCTATAAATATTAACAGACGCATATAGCGTCGGCCTATTAATGGGGGCTGGGACTGCAGACAGCGATCGACCTCTGAAGCTCGTCACCTCCATCAGAAGCTCACCATTCTCCTCATCGTCTCTTTCACAAGCCGCTAACTACATACATCGCAGTCCCAGAGTACCATGGGGCCTGCAAGCAGAGTTTTCCATATCCTTTCATGCACACAGCACCATGCGGGACCGTGGTGGGATTTCTGCAGACCTACAAAAACTGTCAATCAGCTCCACGCTACATGGTCCCTTTGCATCAAGCCCACTGAAGCTTCTGTATTGAGGGCAGACGGTCCCCGGAGCGGTGGGCCGTGGTTGTGCCCAAACCCCAAACCGAGCTGCGACTACAAACACACACACACACACATTTGGAGGATGTATCGTGGCCCACTTCTATGCCCGCCTGCTTCCAACAGCGTGTGCGCGCCGTCCTCTGTTTTGCTTTTCATTCGTGTTCCTCCTGACTGACTGACGTGCGCCGGGTTCTTCATCATTACACGCAGTGGAGAGGCGGCGCGAGTCTCCGACACTCCTCCGTGTCCAAATTTGTCTCGGCTGCCGCGGCGTTTCATCGCAGGCAGCAAGCTTCACGCTGCCGACCACACACACACACACACGTAAACAAAAATGCGGATGGCGCACAGCAAACACACAAAAGACGGTGAAGATCAAGCCGTTGCACCACGCAGTGTGCGTCTTCACGTGTAGTACTGCGTTTGACTCCAACCAAAGGATACATGAAACCCTTTGTGTGCTTTCGGGAGGCGAGGGAAAAGAAAACCCACTTTAGATCTCGCGTCTCGGGAATGAACAGGAGCAAAAACATCAATCGGGAGCAACTCCGACAGGTCGAGACAGAAAACGGCTTCATAGGACGTAGACAAGCGGGTGCCTTCAGATAGGCAAACTGAAATAACAACATATTTATACACTCACGCCCACAAACCTATGAGGGAGATCACAGACATGTCACATGGACAGTAACGCAGGAGGAACGCATGGCAGAGGGATATTAGTCAGGCTAGTCGCTGTGAAATGGGCCGGAAACAGTCATTCAGCTTCATTCAGGTCGCGACGAGGAGGACGTGGCACGAGAACAAAGCCTCGCGAGACGAACGGGCCGGCGAAGAGTGGTGTCTGATTGGTGCTTTGATGTGCAAAATCTCCCTGCCGAGTTCTATTCCGCTGCATCTGGGCTCAGAACTGTCATGACAGGCGTGCAATGTGCACGGAAGCTTTTCTGCTTTAACTTTCGCAAAAAAAGAAGAGGAAAAAAATAATAATACATGAAGACTCTCTCACAAACCAGTCCAGGCCTCACTGAAGTCTATTCCAAGAATAGTAGGAGTGCATTGTGTTCACATCTTTGTCAATGCAACTCCACAGAGCTCTAAGAACAACGCATTTTGTAGTGAGGGGCAGCAGGAAGCGAGGCAGATTGGCTCTAATGGGGTGTGTCGAGTCGGACTGGGAACGGGAAGAAGACAAAATAACGTGTGGAAATATGACGTTGTGCTTGTGGGATCAACAAAAAGCCGAATCTCCTCGAACAACCGAGGCAAAGCCTAACCTCCAGCTCTGTGGAGTGAAACTTCAGCTGTCTATTTAATCAGAGCCTGCTCAGACCGGCCCTCTCCACCGTCTGGACATGCAGCCCCAGAGTGCGTGTCCTTGTCTTGGGTCTGTTCAGACATGGACCGGTGTGCCTCGCCACTTTACTCAACAGCGCGCTGCACTTATCGTCAGGACAAAGGCCCGAAGGTGGCCGCGCGGAGCAGGGGAGGACCGGGGAGCGGGGGCGGAAAAGGCTCACAAGACAAAATGACACGCCTGAGTGGAGCGACTGCAGGCGGGCCGCCTCGTTCCCGCGGACACTTAGAAGACAAATGGTGCAATGAGGCCAATCAGCCCCCCGCCTTCATTGAATACCATGTGGTCCACTCAACTGACACTTAGAGAAGCAAGTAGCCCGACTGTTTCACCGGATGATGAAGAGATCATGAAATGCAGAAATGAAAAGCACGCACCACCACCAGCTAATGCGTTTTGTAGCTGGTTCCTGCCGGTCATCCTCACAACTGAGGGAATGAGTTTAGCTGCAAGTAAAAGTCTTCATGTGTCCGTAGTGGCATGAAATAACCTAATCACATGTAATAAAGACATCTATGTATTCATACATGCACCTCATGTTATTGTACACAAGGGCATCAAACAAGGGTTTGTACAACATGACATCGATCCGACCAGGATAAGAACGGAGCGGTTTCATTTTGGACTTTTTCCCAGCAGTTGTTTTTTTCTTTGTCATATACAGTGTTAATTTTACTAAATAAATTCGGTAGTTTTTCAGGCCCTGATAATCAATCCGTAAGTGAAATATATATATTTTGTATGCTGTCGCAGATGACAGCATAGAATCTGGATGCAATGGAATCTGAGTCATCTAACAGATCAGCAGTCCATCACCAAGGCAGTCCTTAGTACAACCCCCCCCCCCAATGTATTTTGCTTTCCATGCGGGATATAAGCTAATCAATTTACACACTGCTTAGCTGATGTAAAATTTTGTTTAAACTTCATCTTGAATATTGGAGATGCAAAAATGTATTTATTCTCGACCCCTCAACGGAACAGAAGCAGGTCCGGCGACTTCCATCAAACCTTCACACCAGCAACAGTTTTAGGAGCAACGGCACCCGCTCTGCACCAACAACGGGTGGTGCCAGCTTGCTTTGCTCACACCCCCCGTGTAGCACTGTGGCGCTACAGCAACAGGCTTCAACAGACCCCTGTTCTACCCTTTCACACCACGCAGACCGGAGCAGACATGTTTGTGTTCACACCTCACGGAACGACAACGGTTGGACACTCGGCAAACGTTGGGACACCTCTAGGCTTGTTGCCCACCGTCCAGTGGTTTCAGCAAACGCCAGCAGCCGGCGCCGTCCCAACTCAATTGCGAGTCGGCTTTAAAAAGGTAAAAAAAAAAAAAATAAAAAAAAATAAAAAAGGTACAAGCGCCATCTCGTGAGAACATACAGTATCTCATACAAGCTTCCTCCCCCCTCGTTTTGTTTGTGCACCGTCTACGCGTTTAGCATTTTTGCATGCAGTGTTGCATCTGTCGCTGTTCTTCCATTGGACGTCTTAATAGTTCATCGCTTGTAGCCATGTAGGGAATGTTAAATAAAGCTCTGATGTGTAATTTGTCGCTCCACAAACATTCCCGCTCCCGGCCTACCCTGGGAGTTAATGCAACAGATTTGTCATCCAGGCACAGCGAGAGGAGACAGAAAAAAAAGAAACACCTTTTCAATCTGAACTTCTATCTCCATAGGGCCCTATGCAAATGTGAGCGAGCAAATGCGCTCGCTCGCTCTCTGTCTGCCGGAACACGCAGTGCAGGCGACGCAGCCCGGCCAACGCGCATTATTGTGTCTGGAGGTGCCCAGCTTGCGGGGCAGGTAAGTAAGGCCGAGGCCAATGAGAAGCCAACTGGGAGTAGCTCACATGGCGGGAATACGTAAGAAGGCAAAGCCGGAACCAAACTAAATGCAGATACCTGTGGCAAGCGAAGAAGCAAAAATCCATTTTGATCATTTCCTCCAGGAACCCCCCCCCCCACCCCCCCTTCACCCAGTCTCTCATTGCTGTGCCCTTCAGCATAATGGGGAAGCGCAGCCTCTCTGGGGCTTTTTAGGGAATTGATGGATAATCAGATGATTACACAGAAAATCTCCATTGAGGACAATCCTCCCTGACAAACAAAGAGAAAGCTCTTTAGTTAATAAATAGGCTGAGAGAGAGACAGAGTGAGAGTGTGAGAGAGAGAGAGAGAGAGAAAATCCTGTCCTGGGTTGGCAGCACAATACCAAATCTCTATCACATATTAATTTCATCCCAACAAGCTGTGCGTATGCTTGTGCGTGTGCATGTACATTGCCAGATACATCACTTCTCCAGGATGTCACCGAGTTTGCCTTTAGCTTCATTTAAATTTGAGCGTATCTAAATACATTTCAAGCTCCAGGCATATTTGTATAAGCCTTTTTGACGAAATTATTCCTGAACTTTTTCTGAATTGGAAAAGTTTGCAGGGGCGCACAACACATCACGCACGGACACACACAGGGAACAAAGTCCAAGCTGTCAATCTGAGAGTAGCAAATTTAACACACGAGGGGTTTACCACACGGAAAGCGACATTAATCAGAAGGACTTTTCTCTGACAAAGATTAACTGAAATGAATAAATGACATTACTGACAAGTTGAAAAAACAAAATAATATGAATGTAGTACACATATTAAAGACAAAGTCTTGATTTAATAAGTGTTCATGTGCTCTAATCCAATATTTTAAGAGGCGACCATTACGGCTTTGTGAATGTGTGGTTAAGTTATCGTTATCTGGACACTGCAATTATACCCCACCCTTCCTCCTCTGTTTAGTTTCACAGCATCTAAATTCTTGATTTAATTGCTGCCTGGATTCTGATCCCCCCCCCCCCCCGGGCTTAAACTTTGCTGTTTTTAATTAAATTCCTACCCATGTCCCAGTTCTCAGAAAGATTCCGGCAAGGTTTTGTTTTGAGGATTTCTCTGGATTCTGCTGCGCTGATTTTTACCCTCTACCTTCCCATTCAGGGGGCTTCTGCAGAGAAGCATCCCCACCGGCAGGATGCTGCCACCATCACGCTCCATGCTGGGGAAAAGGGCTTTAGGGCTGGTGTTAATGCAAATACTGCAAACATAAGAGCTGCATACATAAGAGCAGACTGTGGGGGTAAAACGTGAATTGCGAATTGCGAAGGCGCCACACGTCTCTCTTCCTCACTCAGCATAGCATCCTATTATAGAAAAACATAACATAAACATAATTGCTAAATTAAAATAAAATGCTAAAGAGCCTTTTGAAAGTGTCGGAGACAAACAGACTAAAACTATATGATATGTTGTCACATAATTCAAATGTGACATTTCAAACCAAATTAATGATACCGGTAGCAGCACTTCCTTCATCTACGCCGTCTGCCAACGACACAGCCGAGCCTCAAGCCTCCATCTGCAGAGCATTCAGATCGATCCGTGCACATTACGAACCCGTGCTAATACCAACACAGCACATACAAACAACGGCCTCGCCTCGAGAAGGCTTTCTTCTTTATTGGCTCCAACCCTGTTGCTGGTATTTTCAGATAACCACAGCATGACATGACTGGATGGTACACAACCCATCCACCAGACTCCTGTTCATTACATTTCAACTGGACACGACCCTTCATTTGGGGGGAGCCCGGCACCGTAAAACTTCAGGCGCTTTGTGGCAAAATTGTGAGAATTGAGGGATGTACAAACGCGAGCGATTGCAAAATGGAGCGTATATTTGCATTCCGTCTCAGCCAAGAGAGGGAGGGGCCTTGGCCTGGTGGGATGCCCGCGGCAGCACTTTGGCCCGGATGGAGCATGGCGGCGCTCCGCTTGCACTCTAACGTGTCCGGGAGTTCCACGGCGGCTGGCATAGTCGTGTTAGCTGTGGATGGTGGTGCAGGGCTGGGATTGCCAAGCCCTGCTGCCGTGCCAGCCTCGGCCTTGGCATTGGAATCGGGTCTGGAGGCTTCACTGTTGAACAAGTTTATGACATCCGTTATGTTCGAAAGGGGTGAAGAGAAACAAACTGAAAAAAACAACAACCCTGCAGCTGGAACCAGATGCTCTGGCGTGAGGTAAGCGTTACCTTCTTCACAGCTCTCTCAACCGGCTTTGTACATAAAGTTATCACATGAGCTACATCATCCTTGAGGGCCACAGCAGAGAGTATTTTTCTTGCTGAAATATAGGCAAAGTTGATATCAATTCATGATGTGCTCAGTAAATTATTTATCCAGCGCAAGGGAACATCAAAGGAGATTCATGGTAAAAACATATTTTTGATAGAAAAAATACATTTTAAAAGCTAAACCAGATGTGTCCCAATCCAACCCAAAGATTGTTCATGACCCAACAGACTCTTATCAGCAATAAACATATTGAACATAAAGCCAGAAAGCTTCCTGGGAGCAGGCGATAAACGTTAACATGCAGTCATAAAGTGAGCTTGGTCAGGTTGAAAGTGTC